TTTTTTTTTTTTTTTTTTTGGTACTGAGGATTGAACTCAGGATCCTTCGCTTGCAAGGCAGGCATGGTGCCACTGGGCTAAATTCCTGGCCCCCAGCATTAGTTTTTCAACTACTGAAGCTTATAAACCATAGGCCACACATTATTTTGACCTTAGTGGTGACTGTTGTTATGGCAACTTTGTCGTCAGGTAAGTGGCTGTTTCTATAGAGACAAGGCTGCAAGCACTAGGCTCAGAAGCCTTAGCAAAGACTTCAGGGGCTTTGCAGGTAACCCCAAGAAACAAGCCAGTCAGTGGTGGTGGTGGTGGTGGTGGTGGTGGTGGTACTGAAAGCTCATCTAAACTACACATTAGCTGTGCAGGTGGCCTCAGCATACACTGGCTATTCTGGCCTAGCAAGCAAATGCCTTCTGTGCTGGCCTCAGCAAAGTGAATAGGGCATTAGCAGGCTTGGGTGGCTTCAGTGTACAGCAGGCTTCTTCCTGACCTTGAATTATGCCGGCACAGCTTTTCCTAAGCAGGCATGGCTGAGGGAAAGATTAGACTTTAGGGAAAAGAGACTGTCTTCTTTCAAGACTTTCAGACATCAGAAAGTAGGACAAGTATTTGCTGCATATAAGCTGCAAGGCCAGGAGAACTTCCAACAGCACATGCATTACAAAAACCAGTGTTTGTGCTAGATGTGCAAGGTGATGGAAATGGAAATTAAGAGGCTTCTGATAATTCATGGGAGGAAGGGAGGGAAGGAGAGGCCAGGCATATACACTGGCTGACCTAGACTTACTGGTCAAGACCAAGGCACTAAGAGATAAAAGCTATGTTGTGGGGCTGGGCCAGGCAGGTAGGCCAGGCTAAGGGCAGTGGGGGAATGGGCCCCATGCCCTGTAGAAGGCTCACTCTGGGTACTGGCACCTGCCAGGACATGTTCCTCATGAGCCAGCACCACAAAACCACCATGTTCACAGATGCCAAGAAGTCGGACACTGGGTACGAGCTGAAGTGCATCGTTGAGAGAATCCTTAAGTGGTGCCCGAAGAGTAGAGGCTGTCCAAGGATGAGCAGTTTCTGGATGATGGCAAAATGCTGGGCGAGTGTGGCTTTACCAGCCAGATAGCAAGGCCACAGGCCCCAGCCATAGTGGGGCTGGCCTTCTGGGAAGACAACACCTTTGAAACCCTGAACACTGAGCCCTTCTCTAGCCTGCCAGAGCATTCAGACGTGACAAAACCTCAGAACCCTGGAGGCAGTACCAACAAACAAGCTGTGCAGTGAGGGCCCTTGGACCACTCCCAGAGGCCCACAGCCCCAGTAAAAGAGATTTGGCTTTCTGTAAAAAAAAGAAAGAAAGCTGGGGAACATAGGAGGAAACCCTTTTAATGCTTCCCTTCACATGGGACAATATGAATTTCTGAATATCATATTCCTGACTCATGCTGTCAGAATGAAGTGATCTGTCTGATTAATGCGTCTGGAAGACTGAACCTGGACTCACAGGGCAGCCTCTCTCCTGTCCCACTTCCCTTGGGGACACCATTTCTGCTGTCCCTCCCTTTTTCTACGAGGAAGGTCTATCCCAGACTAGTGCTAAAATTCAGAATCCAGAAGCCTACCTGCCTTTAGGTAAAAGCCAATTTCCCTATGTCAACTTTATTAGCAATAAAAGCAACATTTTGATCTCCATCTTCCTTACTCCTTTGTCCTATATCTCTGTTAGTTCAGATATAGGGTACAGAAGAGACTGTTATTTGTTAGCCCCATTACAACACAACATACATCTGAGACTTCTCCTCAGAATTAAGTTCAGCTTCTCCACCAGTCTTACCTTCCTAACTGTACCATTAACAGGATATTAGTAACACACCTTCTTGCTTCACTACATCATTACTCCCAATACACATACTAGTCTGTACCTCACTCTGGTATTTTTATCCTCTTCACACAACATGCTACCTATCTGTGCATATTAAAGGTTCATGTGTTAAAAGCTTGGTTCCCAGAAGGGTGCTATTGAGAGGCAGTGAAATCTCTAAGAGGTGAGTGGTCCTTCAGACACTGGGGGTGTGCCATTGAAGGGGAATATGGATGCAGGTCTTCTCACTCAGGACCCCTTTTATAAATGATCTTGATGATTGAACCCAGGCCTCTGCATATGTTAAACAGGCTCTATCACTAAGTTCCACCCCTACTGCTTTTCCTCATTTTTTTCCCCACTCTGTGGCCAAGAAGTAAGTGGTTCTGTGTCACCACACACTGCAGCTCACCAAAGGCCAGAAACAAAAGGGCCAACCAATCAGACTGAAACCTCTAAATCATAAGCTAGTGCAACTCATTTTAAGTTAATTAACTTAGGAATTTGTTATAATAATGGAAAGTTGGCCAGGCCCTGTCCCTTCACTTTACCAATTCACATTTCTGTCCTAATATCAAGTCAATTTTTATTTCAGAAAATCTTTCCTGATTAACATGATAGTCTGCCTACTTACCATGCCTTATTGATACTTTTTCTGTCCTTTATTTTTTCTCATTTTTTGTTGTTCTACTGGAATTTTCTTAGCAGATTTAACATTTCTTTTCAAAACATCTTGATAAGATGAGGGTGAAGCTCAAAGGCAAAGTGAGGGCCTGGGCTCAATCCCTAGGACTGCCTCCTCCCTCAAAGCCTTTATTTTGGGGAACAAACCTTAGCTATTTATTTATGTAGGTATGTACGTATGTATATATGCATGTACACAGTAATGGCAAACAGACCCGGGGTCTTGTCACTGAGCTACACTCCCAGTTTTCATGATGTTCTGTTTTGAAGCGATGGCTTATAGTTGTGTCTAGGTTCTAAGGCAATCTTACTGTCCTTTTGACAAAATGGAAGAAGTTAGGGAACATACATGTGCACAGTTGATTAGGGGTTCCCTTTGGGAACTGCCAGAGGGCTAAAGGTATCAGTGCTAACAGAACCATAAAAAAGTGAAGGCAAAGCCCATGGAGGTGAAAATTAACTGGAGGGGTGAACAAGTGGTGCCACAGCTGTCATGAGATGGTGGGGACAACACAAGCATTTGATCTCTGCGTCAGCTATCATTTTACCTCAGCGCTGTCACCAGTTTGCCATACATGCAAGTAATGGATAGTTTTGGCCTAGCACACAAGACAGGACTCAATAACTAAATATGAGAAATATCATACAGATTCTGCTAGAAAAGTAGGCACATATATCAAATTTTCCCCCATTAAGTTTATTGGTACATTTAAAGCAAACCATACAATTACATTTATCATTGGGATCTTGTACCTTTACATATGTCTTGTTTCTTGTTTTCATTTATCAATATATATATATTTGGGGGGGGTACCAGGAATCGAACTTGGGTGCTTTCATTTGCAAGGCAGGCGGCAGAACCACTGAGATAAAATCTCTGGCCCTATATCAATATTTTTAAAGTCCTCCAGGATTCAGCCTCATATGCCTACTTTCTTTCTTCAGTCCAGGATTCACCAACAGACCAAAGCTCTTCGGGTCTCCATACTTTTGTTCACGTTATTCCCTCTGCAGGGAATAATATCTTCTATCTTTCTATCTTGCAGTGCCAGAAGACATCTTACTTATCATTCAAGATTCCACTTTGATAATTTCCTGACCCATCTTCAGGCAGAAGTGATGATTCCTTCCTTAGTGCTCCCAGTGGATCTTGCTTGAATTCTATTACAGAATCTGTAGCATTTGTTACATGGGTCTTAAAGAATGTGTTTGTAGTATGGTTTTATTTGCTCACATAGATGTCTCCTATGAGAGTCATTTGTCAATTTCTTGATACTAGACCCTAAATCTTGTTAATCTTTGTAGTCAGTTTATTTAAAACTCTGCACCTAGCATTTAATAGGTAGTCAATAAATTTCTATGTAAGAATAATTGAATTAATTAACTAAAGTGTTTTTAATTTAAAATGCAATATATATATCAATTCAATAAACACCTACTAAGTCCCTATCATATGCTAGATGGTGTGGGGCTAGTGTGTTGTAGTAGAATGAGTTTTTGGCTTTGAAGAAAAATCATTCTTCTTTTGTCAATTATTAGCTGTATAATTTTGAGCAAGTTACTTAACTTTCTGATCCTCAGTATTGTCACTCAAAAGACAGAGCAAGAAGAGGTAGTATAAAGATTAAATGTATGTATAACTTTGCCAAAGTGAGACAGGTCAACAGGCATTAAAAATGAGTTCAGGAGCCAGGCGTGGTGGCACATATCTATAATCCTAGCATTTAGGACGCTGAAGGAGGAGGATCACTGTAAGCTCCAGGCCAGGATGGGCGACACAGTGAATTCAAGACCAGCTTGAATCACATAGTGAGACCCTATCTCAAAAAACAAAACAGAAAAGCAAGCTAAGGGTTGGGAGGGTATAACTCAGTGTAGAACATTCACAGAGCACACAAAAATCTCTTTGTTTAATCCCCAACACTACCACTAAAAAAAGAAAGAAAGAAAAGACAAGACCTAGTTCTGGTGTGCTACTGCACAGTACGATAACTATTAAAAGCCAGACAAAGGGCTTTGAATGTTTTGACGATACAAAAATGGCAAAAGTTTGAGGAGTTAAGATATGTTTACCCTAACTTAACATTACAATGTAATTATAATCAAAGTTAGCAAAATCTAGACCTGAGTATATAGATCCAAAGTAACTATACATACAAGAACTGCTTCTACTTGATGTTGGGTTGAATTTTCATCCTGTATTTTAGTGGGCTCTGTTTAGAACAGATGGGAAACTAGAATGGATCTTACAGCAACAAAATGACAGCAAAACACTCTAGTGAGAAAAGTTAAGGAATCACCAACGTTTATGTATAGAAGACCACCAATTTAACCCAATATCAGTTTAACTAATACATATGATGGGGTAGGCATTTAGCTCAGTGGTGCTGCCACCTTCCTTGAAAGCACAAAGTCCTGAATTCAATCCCTGGTATCAAAACAACACAATCACATGTATCCCATAAATATGCAAAATTGTAATGTTTTTATATACCATCTAAGAAATAAATTTAAATAAAACATTTAGTTTCTTTCCAAGAAGTCTCAAAAGGGTTATAGATTAGTAAAGATGACTGAAAAAAATAGTTGTAAAGGAATGAATAATTACTACAGTAACGGGTACGCTTAAAAATACCTAAAATTCTGCTAAGAGATTCTAGAAAAAGGGACAAAAAGAAGGGCAGAAAAAGGAAGAGTAGGTAGTTACATTCTCCTTCCCTTTACCAAATTCCAAGAGAAAAGCATCAACCAAGGTACAAAACCATGAAAAAGAATTATGTATCTAGGAAACAGATAATGATCTGGTAAGACAGATGAAAGGGCTACGGCGTAGCTCAGTGACACAGCTTTTGTCTACCAGACCCTCTGCTGGACGCCCCCGACCCCTGAATGACAGAAATCCCCTACAAAATAAGTCAGAACTGATGACCAGGCTTAAGTTTTGAAGGGGTTTATAGGCTAGCATCTGCAGCCCCAGGGAGCCACTGGGTCTGTCTAAGCAAAGGAGAGTATGGCTAAATCTCTCAGTTAGAAGGCAAACCTAAGCGTTAACATGCACTGCAGACTGTGGGCAGGGAAGACAAGAGGCAGAGAAGTTGGAAACACATTAACATTCAACTGTGCAATTAACCCTAATAACTAAGTTCTTGCATTACAGACTAAAGCACCAAATTCCAGTATAAATCTCAACACTAATGCTTTTTATTTTTCTTTTTGATAGTGCTGGGCATCAAACCTAGGCCTAGTGAATGCTAGGTAAGTGCTGTATGATTGAGCTACATTTTAAAGGGACCTACCACAGGGATGGAAAGGCTAGTAGATGATCACTCCAAATATCCTTCTGTAAAACTCTAGAGAAGTAACAACATTACAGTGTATTTTCCTTCTTTTTAAGGTGAAGATTCTCCTATTTTACTGTCAATATATGGTGGATATATATTTTTAAAACTTACCTTTGGCAGTATCCTGGGGCAACACAAGCCCAAGACAGTAAGTCTCAGCTACTTTCAGTGCAAAAAACCAAAACCCTGAAAAAGAGAAAAATCACGATGAGCTGCATGCTCAAGGCAAGATGTCTGAGGAAGCAGCAGAGCAGGGAGCCTTATCCAAATCCACATCCTTCCTGTCAGCTACTGTCTCCTGGGCTAGAAGTCCAACCTCTCCAGCTTTTTCATCATACACTGCAGCAGTAACTGAATCTTTCTGAGAGGGTTCTTAGGAAGTTTAAATAAAGTATGTGTAA